CTGTCAAGCAAGAACCAGTGGCAAGATCTGTTGTAATTCTTCTTTTCTTCATACTGTCAAGCTTCATATTTTGGTCGAAATCTATATTTGGCTTTGTTATCACCGTTCTCCTACTAAGCTCTGACTTTATGGCCTCAGCTTCAATAACATCATCACAAAGACAATGCAGTATCTCAATCTTCACAGAAGTTGGTTGCTTATAGTAATCACTCTCAAATAGTTTTAGGTGACATATATCAAAAGCCACTTTGATTCCAGAATTATGCGTAAGCAGATACTCAACCAAAAATATAGGCCAGGTGACTGAGTCAAGCAGATCCCAATTAAGAGACCTAAAATATACAATTGAAATATCTAACAGGTAAGTATATCAACTATCCCAAAATGGATTAAATAAGTATTAAAAAACATGCATATATTAGAGAAAATGGAGATAATTACCTAAGACAATTAGATGAAGACTCAGAACTTTCACTGCCTAGGGACTCCAGGTGTTTCCTCAGCATTTGCAAAAGGGAAACATGAACAGAATCAAATAATACAGTAGGAGTATTGCATTTAATTGATGCAACAAAGTCCTCTAATTCAAAGGGACTCAAAAACAATAAGGAACTAAATGATCTTAAAAAGGCATAAACAGAGAAGATATCCAGCACAGAGATTCCTTCTAAATCCAACTTATCCGAAGAAGGGGGCAACTCTGGCTTTGGAGGAAGGAAATTTCGTTCCTCAGAGTCTTCATGACTTGAGACAGTAAGTTTTTCATCTGAAACCACACTTTGTGCAGGAGATGAAAGGGGATCATTGACAGCATCAGGCACTACTGTTTCGGGATCATTATCATGAGAGGACAAATCTGCCCTTCCTGCTTTCCGACTACTTCTTCTCAACATTGGTTCAGTCACATCATCAGGAGCATCAGAGAGACTTTTCCGCTTCCTACCTTTTCTCCCTTTACCTGAAATTGAAGAAATCCCATTTCCACAACCAACTCCAGCAGGCCCTGTATCCACTAAGTTAAGTTCAACTTCCTTCAAACTCCCATCCACAAATTTATTCCTAGTCAAACCCCTATGGTGATTCATTGAGGGTCCTCCTACATTCTGGCAGCAAAGCGCCAGAACAATTGGGGGTCTTTCATGCTTCTGGGATGAACCATCAGCTTGAGGAACAGTTATTCCTTTCTCCTTCATATCACACTTGGCATCTAAATTTGTAGGTTCTTCTTCACCCGCTTCTAAGTTCAAGTCAAAAGAGTGACTCTTTTCCTTGATAACCAGAGAAACACACTCTAATGAGTCATCTTTTGCGAAAGCACAGTTAGCATCCTCATTTGGGTCCGCGTTCAAATCAATAAAATTACTTCGACTCAAGTTCTCTTCAACTCTACCTAAAGCATTATACTCAACGCTTACATCGACGCCAGTATTTAAATCCAATCCTTCATTCAAATTCAAGTCGAGATAAACTCTTCCAACGCCCCCGCCACCATCATCATTCAAATCAACGTCGCCATTCAAATCAAAGTTCAGCCGAGGATGATGATCATTAAGATTCAAATTCAAAGTCGCACCTCCCTTCTCGTGACCATCACTGGAGACGCCCGAACTCTCTCCCATACCACCGTCAGCCGCCGCCGCCGCCACGTTGCAGCCCGAATTACCCGCCTCCCCGACACGACGCCGTTTCTTCGGTTTCCGGCCAACAACAGGACACGGCTCTCGGGAGAATCCATAGTCAGCAGAGTGGGACCCGCCGCCTAGCAAAGCTACGACCTCAATCGCGTCGAGCTCCTCGGAATCCCCATCCTCGTACACGACCTCGAACAAACCACTGTCCGATTCATACGATCTCACCGTTCCTTTGACCGTCCCCAATCCTTCGAATTCCTTCTCGAATGTCCTCCCCAAGTACTCCTCCATTTTTCCACCAAAACTCAATGGTTTTTAGTCGGCTCAACAACACTTCAATGGAACTGAATTGATTGATCTCTGCACAGCGAATCGATTGGAAGAGAGAAGAAGCTAGTTGCTTTTCTCTCTTCGAACGCAATGAGCGTGAATAAAGTTAGAGAGAGAGAGGGAGAGAAGCTTCTCTCTCTAAAACGGAAGTTAGGTTTGGTCGTTGGCTTGTCTGACTGCACAGAACTGGACACGCATTTTCGACGTCTCCTCTGCTTCCTGTTTACTAAATTGCGATCTCTTTGAGAATTGGTCAGAACTCGGATGCCCTTCCAAATATAATTCTCAAACTCGTTATATTACTATTTTTAATTTTGTCCAATCATAATTAACTATTAAATTTATCTTTTTATTAATTCTAATTGGGTCTAAAAAATGGATATAAGTTTAATAATTAATGTGTTTAATTGAGTAACCGTCAACTCAATTAATCACTAAATTAAGGAGACTAGTATCTCAAAGTTTCATACTAATAAGGTTTGACGAGGAGGTCCACTTGCATTGGATCAATATGAAGAGGTTAACTTACACCTCCCTAGTTGTCATAATAGTTTGCCATTTAGGCCTATTGCACTATTTGACTGTGTTGTTGCGTGTGGACCTGTTTATGGTATGTTTTGCACAGGCGCGCAGCCAACGACAATTACCAAAATCGATTGGAGAACAATAAAATTGTTATGAAATATTATAATCGCTACAAACAATGATTTATTGAATTTTGAACGTTTTGCAAACCCTTCTCGAGGTGTATATACCGCTCAAGCGTAAATGCGTAATTATGGTATTCGACCTAAATTAGAAAAGTAAATCTCTCAACTCGTGCATTTTAAATAGAAATTGATTGCATGTCAAATTAGGGGAAAAAACATCATAAACTTGGGACTAAATAATTGAGGATGTGGCTTCCAAAAATAGGACAATAACGTGTCTTGGAATCACAAATGGATTTGGCTAACTAATCGAGTTGAAGTCGAACACCATACCACGATTACCAGCCGTACCAACCATCAAGATCAATTAAGCATCCACTTTCACCAATCAAAACATATCACATTATATCCACTAATACTCATAAATTATCATAACATTAGTTAAAATGTCACATGTAAATAAGACATCTTTAACATGTATAAGTATCGTCTTCTATTTCATAATACTACTTATTCTCATGTTTAGCATGTATAGTATTAGCGTGTATAGTCGTGTTTCTAGACTCACGATTCGATCTACATTATCAACCATATTCAACTAACTAAAAACAAATAGTTATATACTTATATTATAAATATCTTAAATTAAGTATAGTTAAATGAATTATAAATCTCATAGAGAAAATAATTATTCTTTGCAAAGTATCCACGCTCTTTGAGGCCCGATCCCAGCCAATCATCTTATGGGCCCTTGCTCCGTTGGGCTATGTACCGGCACAACATTCTAGTATTCTTAGTCCCAAACCGATAAATTATATCGTGCATTAAAACGTACAATTTATGTGTATTATGTTAAGAGTTTATGTATATTATATTAAGAGTTTATGTGTATTATATATTATGTTAGATTATGTGTATTATGTTAAAAGTTTAGATGTATTCTATTATATAATTATGTACATATAAAATGGAGGATTTTTAATGTACACAATGTATTGTGTGTCTGATACACGATACCAAAAGTGGAATTCTTTGTGTTGCGGCATCATTTGCAGCCTGCCAGCCCTGCCTACTGCCTAGCTGCTAGTATACAGAATATAGAGTACTTCATTGGTGCTGTACTTGACATTCATTATACTCCCTCCGTCCCGAATTGGTTGTCTCATTTGCTTTTTGCATGCTTTTTAAGGAATTAAAGTAAATGTTATGTATTTTCCAATTATGCCCTTCACTTTTTCACTTTTGGAAATAAAAGCAAAAGTCATAAGGGTAATTTGGGAAAAAGTAGAATGATGGTGATGTTTAATTTTGGAAAGAGGACAACATTTTGGGACAAACTAAAAAGGAAAGTAAGACATGCAAAATGGGACAAAGGGAGTAATTAGTACGGAGTATTTTTATTAGTATATTATAGCAAACTTATTAGTTGAGGTTTTAATTTGGTTTTTGTAGAGATAAATAAGAAAGAGGAGGAAAAGAAGAAGAAAAATAATACGGAGTAATTATAAAGAAAAGTAAAGGAATAGTATATGAACAGATACTACAATGTAATAGAGCCAGTAACTTTCAAAAAAATAAAGAAAAGTAAAGGAATTAACGCACCTCGCTAAGGCGAGACATTTTGTTTTTCGTGAGACACCAAGTCCCACAAAAAAATCAATTTTTATAGAGTACTCTAATCTTTCTCTCTCCACTCCTCTCTTTTTTACATGAGTAAAAATGTTGTAAAAATCTCTCAAAAATCACAAATAGAGAAGCTCTTAATAATACTCTGTATTATTTTGCTAATGATAAAATCAAAAACTAAAACAATACAAATCTTGGTTAGTCACGCCACCATATCTCAAAAATAAATAAATTTACATAGTACACACTTTTAAATAGTGATCGTGTATTTTGTATTGTCAGGCAAAAAAAAAAAAAAAAAAAAAAAGAATTTAGACTTCAGACATTTTGAGACAGTTTTAACAAAATTACACAAACCTATGGTAGTCACGACCACCATATTTACAAAAAACAATCAGTTAGTTTGTAAACTATTACATAAAAGTAAGATTTACGCAATGCTCATCATCAAGTAGGGAATGCAAGTTACCTTTGTCACCAATAAAAACAAGTAATGGATTTACTCAGTGAACTCGTGACCTTTGATATAGATTAGCTCTAATACTAAATTAAAACATATATTCTATCTCAACTAAAAACTTAAAAGTTAGCCCGAATGGACAACTTACAAGGGTAAAGTTTGAAAAGAATGATCAGGAGAGATCGAGTCTCACCAGCGACAGAACGAAAACTCCGCAAAGATTTAACATCATTTCACAATTCTAAAGGAAGTATATAGGTAGAAAGATCAATGGGAATAAACCACAATTCCAAAGGAAGTATATAGGTAGAAAGATCAATGGGAATTAGGCTTTGATTGTTATTGCTAAATAAAACCAGTGGAAACTGGAAAGTGAAAGGCAAAGAACCAAAAATCCCAAACTACAACATCAAAACTAACACGCACATTACAAAACACAAAAGAATGAATCAAGATTCAAGAACATAGACTATATCTCTCTACTACTTATCAAGTCAATCACAGTTTCCAGTTTCCAGTTTCCATAAACTCTAAACCATCAACAATGGCTCTCACTTCCTACATCTCCAAGCTGACACAGAGAACAATGGCCGATCTTGCCAGCAAGTCACAACGCACCCATTCTCCTCCTTCATCTTATACCCATCACACCCAAAGCTCTGCAAGAATCGCCTGGCTTGCAGCATTGCGTAGTAGCTGAAAGGGACGTTGCTAAACCCAGAAGACTCGAATCTCTTGAACCATTTCTCCAGCTTTTCGTGCCTCTCCTTCCTCTCGGTGCCCTCACACGCGATGATGTTCTTGATCTCTTCGCCCAGAAGCGCCTTCTCCACCTTCAACCGCTCCGGTGAGGATCGTGGGAGGGTGGATTCGAGGCAGTCGAACAATGCTGCGTAGAAGTATAAGGATTCTGAGAGTCTCTCCATGACGGTGTGGCCGTTGTGGTTGCTGTCTTGTTCTGTGATTATCATTAGTTTAGGGGATAAGCCCCAGAGGGCACTGAGGAAAGCTTCGATCTTGGGTGAAGTTGATAGGTATGAAGATGCGGAGTCGTTGCTTGGGCTGTAGCCATTGCCCACATCCTGTTCGATAAAATCTCCCAATGAGTTTTGGGTAATTTGGAACCTGTTTGGGATCTTGGATGCCAATGGTGATGGTTTCTTGTCGTCGTCGTAGGCTAGAAGAGTGTGGAGTTGCATTGGAGATGAAATTGCCAGAGCTTCCCCTGTTTTGACCCGGAGTTTCTCCAAATCTAAGCTTTCGAGTTTGCTGACAATGGCGTTGAACTGGAAAGGGATATCCAATTTCTCTGCCTCCTCGGATAAAACCCGACCCATTTGCTCCATCACCTCCTTCACGGGATGCACGCCGGTTATGCGGAGGTGCGGCGGGCCTTCCGGCCGGGCACTGAGGTCTTGAAGCAGCGCGCGCCACTGGGTTGGGTCGGCGGCGTTCAAATCGATTATGTGCACCATTTTCTCGCCCTCCATGGCCTCGATTATAGCCTGGTTGGCCACCAGGAAAGCCACTTTCGAGAACGGGAACATTTCGACAAACACCTTGCGTGCAAGGAAATCATCGGCCGGCGACGCCAGCTTGGTGCAACGGAGGGCCCGGTAAACGCCGGGCAGAGTTCGGACCACCCTGTCGGCGAGGGCCTGAGCGAAGTAGCAGGCGATGCGCTGCATGGTGTCGCCGTCGGGCGCGGCCAGGTGGGAAATCTGGTCGAGGGCTACGTTGGAGTTCTCCAGGCTGCCGCCGGCCACGTGGCCGGCGCAGGTTAGCAAGAGATGGATCAAGTACAGACCCCTCTCCTCCGATTTCAGCTCCTTCAGCCACGGGTACGGCGATCCAGGCGAAACTGCCGCCGCCGCCGCCGCCGCCGCCAAACCTTGCAGCGGCGACGATGACGTAATCGACGACGACGATCCCTCGTCCTGAAACATCAGAAAACTCCCAGAAAAACTATTCAACCAAGCTAAACAAAGTCAAGAAAACGAAATCCCTAGCTGGGTATTTCGACCGATTAAGAAAAAGGAGAAGAATCCGAAGCTAATTTCAACCGGATCAAGCAAGATTAAGGGTTGTTTGGAGATGAGAGAGAAAGAGAAGAGAGTAGTAGAGAACGAAGATGATGAGAATCGAAGACATTTGAGGGATTTGGTCGACTTTCTTCATGGCTACGTTGTCGACAACAGCGTGACGGTAGTTTTTGTCGCCACTGTTCTGCTGTCCTTTTGCCTTTAAAAGTGGAATATGGAATTTGGAATTTTTTAGAGCAAAGCCACCCCACCCTTTGGCTTTTGTGCTCTTGGACTTTTGGTCTTTGGGAATATTATCTTTTTTACAAATTTCTACTGTATTCTCATTATGCTTTATTTATATTTATATCTAATAAAGTTGTATTTTTTGACCATACTTTTAGCTATTTAGTTATATAGTCTTAGAATAAATTTAGTTCATAATGAGCTTTCTTTATGGGGAACAATTTTAGAATAATTCGGGTTTGATTCTTACAAGTGATTATTCCTTTTAAGTCAGTTCTCGTGCCTCTCGAAGCGAACGGAGATTAGTTGGATGGACCTAGATCGTAAGACGGACATAAAAATAACCCGAAACACCTCGTGGTTACACTGGAAAAAAAAAGAATAAATTTAGTTCATTAATTACTTATAGACTTATAGTATACATTTAGTATTTAAATTCTTAGCAAAAAAAAATCAAAAAGTAAACTGGTTACTTGCATACAAATGAAGAGGCTAAATCTACACTATAATTACAATTGAAGTACTAAAAATGTTATTAACGATGTTATAATGTAGTTGAACTTACCCAATTACACAAACAACAATACTAAGCTATAGGCTTAAGGACTCATGTAACATTTTGGTCGGTTCGGTTATCGGTCATCGATTTTATCAATTTTTTGGTATTTATGCCCATCCCTAGCTGGTTAGCTTAACTTGGTATGCAAAAATCATTCTCACCGACTTATCCTTGCAGCATTAGAGACATATAAATTGTCGTAACTATCTCAACACATTGACATATGTTTGCAACAATTGAAACATATAGGTTGTCGTAACTGTCTCACCGCACTAACATCTGCTTGCTGCAATAGAAACATATATGTTGTCGTAACTGTCTCAACGCACTGACATATGCTTGCTGCAATAAAAAACATATATGTTATCGTAACTGTCTCAACGCACTGACATATGCTTGCAGCAATAAAAACATATAGGTTGTCATAACTGTCTCAACGCACTGACATATGCTTGCAGCAATAAAAACGTATAGATTTTCATAACTGTCTCAACGCACTGACATATACTTGCATCAATAGAAACGTATAGGTTGTCGTAACTGTCTCAACACACTGACACGTCAACCAACATATTTTGTTTCTGTCTCAACGCACTGACACGTCAACCAACATATTTTGTCTCATTTTACCCCTATTGGCTATTGTTTATTTTGTCAAACTAACTCTTCATTTTCTTTTTGCTTATTTTGTTCAGTGTTTTATTACAATTTTAAATTATTTTTAATGCTTAATACTAATTTTAGTGTGATTTCTAAATTCTAAATATATATACACTGCACATTTTAAAAGATTTTTACCTTGTAGATAGCATGATTATATCAAGTACATTAGTGCTAAGTTGCTAACAATGTTCAATAACCATATATGCCAAGTATTGTTGGCCCTATAGAAAAAAATCATAAATTTGATATATTAATACTAAATATTACAAAATAAATAATTTTTTTTTAAAAAGACAATCTTGAATTAAGTTATAAATAATGTGATACGAAGTCTCATTAATTAAATTAAAAAAAAACATAAAATGAAATAAATAAAATATAACTATTAACAAATCACATAATACAAATTTACTAAATATATAATACATTCACCTCCATACAAGTTTTTTTATGACGAGAAAAAATTACAATTACTATTTAATAGTGTGTACAGAGTAAACTCCACTAATATGTAATAGTTCACAAATCATATAAGAGAGATAAATCACACTACACAAAATCTTAAATGACTTTGTGACAGACTTAACTAAGTAATAAATATTAATAAGAATTAAACTCGTGATATTCTAGTATGAAAATTATATTTTACCAATTTCTTTTCCTGTATTGACTCATGTTGTAGACTCCATTATATTTACGTGTATTAAGCAGGTCAAATATTCGATTACCCACTATCAAACATTCAAACTTGTCGGAGTGTGATGTTAGGAGACGTTACCTAATGCATAATTTAAAAATTTTACAATGCACTTATTTAAATTAGTCAAATTTGACAATTAACTCCCTCCCAATTATAAATTGACATGTAAAAGTGCAAATCAACACTCAAAAACTTAACTTCATAAAGTATAAGGGGAGATTGGTTCAAGTTATATAAGATAACCAATGTTATATTTGCTTGGTAATATAAGATTCTCATGTTTGGTTCAGGTTATATAACTTTTTCAAGAAATCTCATATAACGTATGGATTAAGTTTTTAACTATTGGAAGGGAATGTGAGATACCCTCCAATTTCTTAGATAATCTCACATTCCCTTGTCTTATTACTAATATTGGGCTTTGTATTTTTAATCAATTTATCTTATTATCGTTGTCTTATTTATATATCTTAGTTTTAAACCAAATACAAGAATCTAACATTCCCAGCAATCTAACATTCCCTAAGGTAATCTAACATTCCGTGAACCAAACGCCCCATAAAAGTGTTTTTAAATGTAGGAATAAAGCTCAAATAGGCCACTCAACTGCACACTAAACTGCAATTAGGCCATTGAACTTAAAAAGAATGCAATTGAACCATTGAATAACACAAAAATATGCAATTTAACCCAAAATGACATGTTTACCTGATGTAGTAAGTTACCGATTTTAAAATTAATTTTTAAAATAAATTTTAATTTAATAAATAAATAATTAAAATATTTTTTTTTTTTTTAAAAAGCAAAAACTGCCGGCCGGAGACGAACTTCCGTCTCTAGCCATGGAGACAAAGACCTTCGTCTCCGCCCATGGAGACGAAGAGACCTTCGTCTCCATAGCCATGGAAATTGTCTCCGGTCGGCAGTTTCTGTTTTTTTTTTTAATTATTTATTTATTAAAAATTATTTTAAAAAATTAATTTTAAAATCGGTAACTTGCTATATCAGGTGAGTAAGTTATTTTGGGCTAAATTGCATGTTTTTTTGTATTGTTCAATGACTCAATTGCATTCTTTTTTAGTTCAGTGACCTAATTGTAGTTTGGTGTGCAATTGAGTGGCCTATTTGACCCTTATTCCTTAAATGTATAATGTGATATTTAAAAATATGTTACAATAAAGTATTTACCACTACATAAAAAATTATAGTTAATAATGACGTTTATCACTACGTCAAAAGTTATATATAATAATAAAGACACAATTTTTTTTTTTTATATCTATGTAGCAATCATCGTTGTGTTTCGATAATAGGATGTTAAACTCGATCTTCTAAGTCACTGTATCGCTCAACAAACAAATTCTAAAAGTACACTTCTGAACTTTAACTATTTATGAAGTTGACATTTTGAGTGCACTCGATGTCTGTTGGCCGGGATTTGAACTCTCACTCCCACACTATCGCCACTATCGCATTCAGTCGTGATATCAAGTCAGACAACGAATCACTACGCTAAAGCCACATGGGACATCATAGGGTATATTTTATATTTTTGCATAGTGTAATACACTTTTAGAGTTTATATGTTTTTACTCGAACACCAATTCCCACCTAATCGTGACTCTTTATTATATTACATTCATAAAGTTCAGATTTAATATTCCTCATTTCATTTAGGTGACAAGTTGTTAATTTTTTGGGTATATGTATTATGTTTGATTTGTTAAAATTTCATGAAAAACATAATTTGGTTATTTCTACACTCCAACTTTGATCTAAAACTTCTTCAAACACCAACTTATGCTACTCTGCAGCGTCACCAGTTCTACCATTGCCGATTCACTTCTTCCTGTAATCGTTTTCGACCACCGCCTTGCAAGATCTGAACTGTTAACCTATCTCATCCTTTTTACGAGATGATTACATGAGTATTCTCAAATCAAGAATAATTATCGTGAACAAGCAATTGTAATGGTGTTATAGTGTTGGTTCCCTCTCCATTGATATATAAAAATATAAAATAAAATTATGTGATGATTGTAAATTTGTAGAAATGCAGTCAAAAACGCGTGTAGAAACAAAAAGTTATAGTGCTTAGAACAAATTGATAGTTGTTATGATGGGTGGTTAACTTTGTCCGCTAAATTACATTGTTGTTACTGAAAATTCTCATAATAACCTCCTTAGGTGAGGTTTATTCTTTCCAAAAGGTTGAATCTCCAATCCCAAAGGTCCCCACACCCCGACCCAACAGAGCATCTGGAAGGATGTAAATCATGGCAACTCAGCTGAATCGCAGAGTCTAGACCTTTGCTTACTGCGCACAAGGAATCCCTTCATTTTAAGAGGTTGCCCCACACTGTCACTAGTGAGACTCGATTCCTAGTCATTCTTTTCAAACTTCACCCCTATGACTAACTGAGATGTTAATGCGGGTTTAAGTGATGTTTATTAATCACTTGTTACGCAGCATCTGCTGTTAATTTCCCCATTCAATTCTCTCACCATTTCCAGAAAGGGTTGTCACCTCTTTACCCAAAGTGAAAGTAACAGAGTTTTGTTTGTGTTTTTGTCATGGCCTATTATGGATAGGAATCAAGGTTGGCTAAAGAGGCTTAAAATATTCTGCAAATTCCACAAAAGTCCAAACATAGCAAAGACAAGTGAAATTCCCTCAGATCTTTGGAATTGGAGAACCCCCTTTCTTGCCTTCCCCCTTTAGAAAAGTCCTTTTCCCCTACTCCATTTTGCCTCATCATCAATTTTTTTTTTTTTTTTAAACATCCTTAAATTTTGAAGGCATGAATTATATTGATATTCTATAACAGTGTATTGTGTAACATGCATTGTAGTTTAAAATAGAAAGAGAAGAGAGTTTTGTAGAGTTTATAAGAAAGAAAATAATGTAAAAAAAAAAAAATGGATGAAAAAAAGTGTAAGGAGTGAAGCCATGATTTTAATTGACTATTGACAAAATTAAAACAATTCATTATATATATATATATATATATATATATATATATATATATATATGTGTGTGTGTGTGTGTGTGTGTGTGTGTGTG